CCCATTTTATGTGTAAGTTGTAGTTTTGCATATGACTTAGATCATAGAAAAGTTCTATGGCTTTAAAATAAGTTTGAAAATATTAATTTGGAGAAGCATTTCAAAGTAAATTTGATTTGTTTATGCTAACACAATTTAAGGAATCTGTCAGACTAGATTATTACATCTAGTCAATTACATATCTCAATTGAAAGTTAACTTGAGACTATTAATTACTTTTATTAGCTACAGAAGAAAAATTCTAAGCTTTTATGTACATTTTTTAGAAGGACTTTGAATGGAATAATAAATTTTAACATTAGTTTAAGGAGATGACCAAATACAAATTGTCAAATTGCAGACCAACAATTAAAGATGAGGAGAAAATCCTTTCATTCATGGAATTATTATTTTAGTATATCTCTTTACATCTTATGTATTATCTTATTTATTATCACTTCTAAAAGTGAGACACAATTATAATTCTGTTCTCTAATTGTAATTCTAATTGTACTTATGAAGCACCCTAAATTAAAAAATACATTTTATCAACACCTGATTCAGAAAAGAAAAACCCTTGAATAAGCACCTCGTACCTGGAAAAGCATGAAAATAAAGTAATTGCCAGAATAGATTAATTCTCTTTTCCTCTTATAGATGCATTTCAGTAAGGTCAAATATTTGTAAATGTTGTCAGATTTAGGGAATATACGAGAATTCTAATATTGCACAATTTAACATTTCACTACTTTGGAAGTGTCTTTTTACAACCACCAGAGGGCGCACGTGCCCGCTGCATGGTTAGCGTAGGTGTAATCTAACCTTTTGGTCGTACTGGAATTTGGACAAGGCCAGACTAAAAAAAAAGCCTTAAAAAAGACTGTTGGTAACTTTTTAAGAAATAAATTTACATTCTCTAACACCTAAATAATGTTGGACTTCTATATCAAAAAACAAAGTTCACTGGCCTATTTTTTGGTAAAGATTAATTTAACATAGAATTTATTAATGTTTCTGACTCAAAAATTAAAGGGATGACACTTATAACACTGAATGAAATGGTCTAAACCATTAACACTAACCATTTATTTAGCACCATGTATTTAGCACCAGAGTAGATGATGATAGCTCACACTTCAAAGAACTTTAATGGCTAAGAAAATTGAAAATCATAGCAAGTTTATATGGTAATTGTAATGTATTTTCAGCACCATTAACCAGTGAATTGTTAAAGCCTCTAAGTTGTTCACTGACTGCTCAGAATTCAACGTTATACTATGACATATCTTTTTTTTAATTATTTCGTATGTGTTTCAATGCTTACACATGATTGCGTGTGTCTTCACCCACACGTAAGGACAATATAAAATAAAGCTTAGAAAAGATAGTGTTACACATTGAAACAGACGTATGTTTATTCTTCCTGAAGACTTCTGTAGGTAAAGACTTCTATCTATGTCAAGATTGCATCCTGTGATATTGCAGAACCCAGGGCGTGTGGTTACACGGGGGGAACATACACCAAAGCCGAAGCCTCCCTTTTCCTTCATAGACACATTCAGATTTCTGTTTAGCTTGTTCATGTATTTAATAAGCCAGACTAATGGGCTTAGTTATGTATTTGACTTACTTATGTAGAAGTTGTAAAGTGATTTAACATGAGCATGGATAAATAAAAATATATTTTGTTTCAATTCAAATATTCTGTATAAAACGTAATGGTTGAACTTGTTTGTCCTAGTGTTTGGTTAATTCCAGGCTAAAGCTCATTGGAACTTTCAAATGCATATCATCATGAACATTTCAAATGGACGTTACAGCACTGCCAGATGAAATCTGAGGCAGCTCTTCTGTGCCACAGACGTGGTAATGCGGAGATACTGAACAGAAGCAAGAATGATCATGGTAACTGTGGTTTCTCCCACATTTTTAGAGCAAACTTACCTATAATCACCAGAAACATCAAGACTGTGCCTACACGGCTCACAGACAATTCTGTAAAGAAATCTCTCAGTGCCATACTAAAATTGTAATATTTTTCAGTCTTTTGTTTGAACGACATGTAAGCCAAAAAATGTATATTGTGACAGTGTTTTAAAAATTTCTACCGAATAAGGAAAGAGGGATATAAAAAAATCTACACCGAGGAGGGGATCAATGCTGCAAATATGTATGCCAATTACTATTTCTTTTGAATGAAACTTTTCCAAACGAAAACCTCAATGCTGGCTATTTAAAGCTGTTCTAACGACATAGTCGATACCCAGACCCTTTCTGTCTCTGGGAATTACAGTGAGAGACAGCTTTTTTAGCACCATTGGGCAGGCCGTGACTAATACCACATCATGTGTTGATACTAGCAGCATGTTCGTTTAGCCTGGAAATAAAATATTTCTCATGGCCATTTTATATTACTAACCTTAAAAAATAGAGATAGAATAACAAATATGCCCTTTAAATTTTCAGCTGAGTTGTTAAATTATAAATCAATGTATAGTTTTAGTCTTAGCTTGGAAAAAATATTTATGTCGGTGTGTAAACCCTAGTCTTAAGCTGGTATGTGTGATGGTATCTGAAATTTTGGTTCAGTCAAAACTTTGTAATTAAGACATTGTTGTCGTAATACAGCATGGAAAGGTGGGATTTCTTTGAATTGTTACAATTCTAGACTTTTTAGCTAATTCTAAAAATCCATTCATATACACAATTATTAAACATTATTATGTTACAGCCACTATGTAAGAAGATGGGATAAATGCAGAGAATTAGATGGAGATCCTGCCAAAAGGGAACTCATGAAAAATTTGATTTTTAACATAAACTTTCATAATATTAATGATAATTTTAGTATTCGTAGTTTTTATTAATGCAGTAAATTGACTTTTGTAAGAAGCTCTCTGAACTATGTAGCACCTAGTCTTCTTTTGAATTGAGAAATCAAGGCAGGCAAGCAGGCCTGCAACAGAACTGGAACTAGCAATAGTCATCATCTGTGTTATGGTATTTGCTGCTGCTTCTGTAGAACTGACCTTGTAAAATTGAGTATGGAACCGCTTTCTAGATAAACCAAGATAACATCCCACTGAGGGGCCTAGGCATTCTAGATAAAAGTTAAAATGAGACCTAAGTAACATAATTACTTCTGTTCCCCATTTTTTTCAGGAATTATTTATTTTAATAGGGTCTGCAAAGGCAGAGTAGTGTGATAAGAAAAATGTTGTCACCATACTCAATTTGTAAAAGTGACCAAGCGCGTTGTTTGTCATCAAGTAAATCCACACTCCCGATGGCATATTCTTTTCCCAATGAAATGGATTTACCTAACTATCCGTCACCTTTCAAAGCATCCACAGAAAGAAACTACCAATGTGTATGGAATTTTAAACAAGGAGCTTCCTCTAGATCTAACCATGCTCACTTGTTCTGTAATTCTATGGAAGTATTATATACTCTAAATAAAACACACACACACATATCTGACATGAAATATGTTAAGTGACTTGTATTTTCCTCTCTCGAAGAGACTTCATGATAAGGAAATATTGCGTTTTCAAATCAC